ACTCACATGCTTTAAACAGTTTCCAAAGGGCCAACCACAACCCATACTCCCAAACATACAACCCTGGTTGGAGAAATCATCCAAATTTCAGTTGGAAGAGTGATACTACACAAACTTCACAACCACCGTTTCAAGCACATCATAATTTCTAAAATTCTTATGGATATGCACCTCTTTATGCTCCACCTCCTAGAAGAAATTTTGAGAAAACATTATATGCATTCATTGAAAAGCAAGAGACAATTAACACTCAACTTGTTTAAAGCGTAACAGATTTTAAAGATACTCTTGAAAAATTCACATCTGCTCTTAGTTTTCAAGAGAAAGGTAAGTTTCCATCTTAACCACAATAAAATCCCAAAAGGCAGTACAATGCAAATGCAAGTAATTCTAGAAGCCAACATATGGATCAAGTCAAATTAATAATCACTCTTCGTAGTGGTAAGGTTATTGAAAAACCTACTATTGAACCTTGTAAGAAAGATGATGAGTTAATCTTTGAGGATAAGGAAGGGGTGAATCTGAACATTGCAAAGAAAAGATTGATTCCCTGCCAGCATTTTTATTTTCTCATACCATGACCAGACAATAAGAAATCAAGGATGAAAAAGGGATCGAAAATGTTGTCGCGGATCATTTGTCAAAATTAACAATAGATTCGACATCCGACACCACACCAATTGATGATTAATTTCCTGATGAATCTTTACTTTCTCTTAGTTTAATGCCTTAGTTTGCTAAAAATATCAATTTTTTTGCTTTAGAATTTTTGCCAGCTCATTTGGATAACCAAGACAAAAGAAAGTTTTTGAGCGACGTGCAAAACCTTTATTAGGATGACCTTTATTCAAATATTGTCCTGATCAAATATTTCAAAAATGCATTCCTGATAATGAGGTAAGTAGTGTCATTAAATTTATCACTCTAAGGCATGTAGGGATCATTTATCATAAAAAAAGAGGACTGCAAAAATCCTATAAAGTGAATTTTATTGGCTCACCATATTTAGGGACTCACATGCATTTTGCAAAACCTGTGAAAATTGTCAAAAGGTGAGTTTTATTTCAAAATATAGAGAGTCTTTAGATAATCTTCTGTTAACTCTTAAGTCTCATAGAGATATGCATCATGCAATTCATGACTTATGACCCCATTTTCATAAAAAAAACATGCTTGACATAGTCTTGGAAATCTGACTAAAAAAAGACCCTGTTTGCTAGTTTTTAAGAAAACTAGATGGGAAGCCTATCCCCGACCTATAGAGAGCGTTTAAGTCGTTCTTGGACGTAAAACCAAATGAAGATGTGAGCCATAATCACAACTGCCTGTACATACATATGCTGTTTCAAATAAATAAATAAAAGAGAGAGTGAGACTCTAACTGGCTTATATATAGGTGATATGATTGCATTTTTAAGTTCTTATCTATAAAATCTTCTCTTCCTTCCCTTCATTTCTACTCAACTTATACATTCAACAGATATAAAAGTGTGTAGAAATGGCAGATTCCTCAAGTCATCACATAAGAAACATTTGTATTTTTGATGGATCCAGTCCTGAAAAGGAAATATAGTTTTTAGAATCAGCAAATCATCTTAGTCAAGTACTAGTTGAGAGAAAGATTCATTTAGTGTATGAGGGAGGTAGCCTTAGGTTAATGGGGGAAGTGTCAATATGTATATTTTTAGAAGGTAGTCAAATTTTGGGGGTTGTCCCCAAAGCTTTAGCACAAGGGGAGATCATTGGAAAAATAATTGGAGAGGAACTACAGGTCTCTATAATGTCTGATCGAATGAATACAATGTTTAAATACGCTGATGCCTTCATTGCCTTATGAGGTGGTCTAAGCGTATTGGAAGAGATCTTTCATATTACCTTTTGGGTCCAACTGCAAATTCACCATAAACCTACAGGTCTATTAAATGTTAATAGTTTTTATGATAAATTATTGTCTTTTCTTAATCATGCTGTGGAACATGAATTTCTAACATCTTCGGCACGACAAATCATAATCTCTACTGCTATTGCTGAACAATTGATTGACCAACTACAATCTTTCACCCTGTAATTGATCCATTCATGAGTCGCATAAATTGGTCAACTAAGGAAAGTCGTAAAAAGCTTAGATTGAATTTGAGCCTTCGTTTGTGAATCCTTGTGTCTTTTGGTTTTCTTAATAGTATATTATTTTGTATTTTGTTGTTTCTTATATTTGTTTAAGTGTGTTTCAGATTTGTCAGTATTCAATGTTTCAGGTGATGTCTTTTATACTTAATCTTTCTACTTTAGAAAATTGAGGACAATGTCTCTTTTTGGTTGGGAGGAGAAGGTAGTAATTGATATTAAAAAAAACTAAATAACTATGTTTTTTTTTCATAAACCATTTGCAAACTGTTCTTACTAAGATGACAGAGTAAGGAGAAATTTTATTGACTCTTGAGACGTATCTTGGTTAATATTTTTCAATAATTATTTGCAAAAATTATAACAAGGTCTATCAAAATACTTCTTGAAATATTTAGGTTTACAAATACTCGCATTGTTATCATTTAATTCTGCTCATATACTCATTTAATAAGCATTCTTAAACCTTTATTTTCACACACACACTTTAACACATATGATTGTGGGTTGTATATTGGATTATTACATTATTTATGTTCTATTGTTTAAGATAACAACTAAGAAAAAGATATATAAATTGCAAAAAAAATAAATAAAAAAACAAAAAAATAAAAATAAAATGATGATAATAAAAACATAGATAAGTTTGGTTTGATAGCCTCCCTAATCTAAACAATTAAGCCTGAAGAGGTCTTTTAACCCCTAATACCCTAAAGTCAACTAACTTGGGAGCTATTGGCCCAACGCTTATTACATGGGTTGTGGAGAAAAGCCTAAGGGAATTAAACATTACACTATTTACGTATTAGTATTTGCAGCCCGAGTTATTAAGCTCGAAAGGGTGTCTCAACACCTAATGCGCTAAGACCAATTGGTCTGGGAGTCATTAGATGAAAGCTTGTTATATGGGTTGAATTTATTTTCTTCCAAGTAAAGCCCTATAGCTATGTGTTTATATATTGAGCATAAAAGAAAGGTTTATTAATATCTTTTTTAAAAGTTATTGAGCAAATATATAAATTTAATGAGAGTTTGTTTATTTGGATAGATTAATGGAAGTTAAATGATGAATACCTTGCTTTGTGGAATTTGCAAATTATTTTTCTATTTTAATGCTTTGATTACTAGGGATTAGTAATAAGCTGGTTGGGGGGTGTAATTAGTATTTAAAAGTGCATTTTTATCATGGTTTTATATCATCATTTTGCACTTGAAGTATCAATAACTCCTTAACTAAAGCATGTTTTGTAATAACATATCTAATAATATAAAATACCTTTAATTTATGGTAAATATTCATCTTAAATGCAGACCTATCATATAAATAAAAGGATTGATTGATGAGTTTAAGTACTGAAATTGAAAGGAGAAAGAGATGACCAAATATAGAAAAGAGATGCTAGTGCAGTCCAAAATGAAACACTGTTCGGTATTTGGATCATATCTAGAGCTGTAGATATCGAATTTAGGTCTACTTTATATGGATAGAAAGGTAAGATATAGGCCTATAATTTTCATATGGAGGTTTGGTTTTTAAAAGGCCATTTTTAAGTCCAAATTATAGTAATAATGAAGAAGTCTAAATTTGTCCTATAGCCTAGACACTGTTTAGTGTTTAGCCCATATCTTAAGTTCTAAAAGTCCAAATGACCTCAATCATTTTTTTTCAGGAAAGATAAGAAAATTTCCTAAAACTTTTATGTCTATAGTTGGTTCCAATTCTGATGTTAGCAATGATATTTTGTTCAGATAAGAAGATAAGAATTTTCACCAAGTCAAGACTTA